AAGGTGATGTTTTTGACATTTAGATCATTTCATCTTTAAAGAACTGGTCTTCAAAGGGGATACTAAAAGGTAACAACTATTCAGTTCATTGAGAATATCACACAATTATTACTAGTCGTACCTTGGATTCCGAATATAACACAGGGATTCAGCAGCATATCTCCATTTTAATCTGTTCTCTGCAGTCTTTTATAGTTGGTCCAACTATTACCTAAAAGCTTTATTTTTCCCTTCAAATGCTCCCTGTATGTCATCCTCAGACGACGGGACCGTTGCTTCCTTTTTGAGATCCACTCAACGATCCGATGTGTGATGTCACTCAGTAAATCCAATACATCCCAATTTCCTTCTTCATATTCTCAGGTCAGTGGGTGCTTGGATGTTGGTTCGCTGCCATTCAGGGTTTCTTTGTGCTTAATCACCCTTTTCGGCGAATAGTCTGATTCTAAATACCAATCTACAGCCCTTGTCGATGAAAGCCTACGTAGGAGTGTATGAAATGCTTTTAATGAATCACTCACCAATTACCTGAATCATACACAAGCACTGATTTGAGATTGGTATTGGAAATTTGAATCTTGTTCCTTGAGCTAACTTCAGCAGATTTTCATGCTAACTTCAGAGTAATAAAGAACCGTTTTGCTTTTCAGATCTCACCTTCGATATCATAATCCGTTTTGCCTGTATTTGGGATGACGCAGATGTAGTAAGTAAAAGAGACTACCTGTTTCAAACTTCCTCCAATGAAGCTTGTTGTCGTTGCTGTTTGACTGTCTTCATCACGTCTGTCTTCTCTTTGTCCACCTGAAATTCAGCCTTCTCTTTCTCTTCTTCCATTTCGTTGGTTTTCCACTGTAAATCTTAGAGTCTCTGAGACATAAATAATTTGCAAGATGCAGATCACACGCGGCCTTCAAGACTTTTGGTTTTGTCTCAGGGTTAATGCTAACTGGCAGTTCTGTGTCTGCTGGTGGTATTTCTGGATGAGTTAAAGTGGTGGCCAAGTCAAAAGTCACTTGAAGTGACAACCCACCGCCTCCACTGTTTTCCCACTTTGGTAACTGAGTTTCCTTCACTACCTTTCTCTGATTTCACCCATGTCGATCTCTTCTCGGGTAGCGACCTAGTTATTGGATATATTATTCTATTGTCCCTCTCATCTGCAACCTACTCTGCTTCAGTTTCGAATGTGTCGTAAAAGTTGTTTTTGTCTTTGCTATACTCTTCTCCAATCCTCTGCTTCACCATCCTTCTCTCTTTTACTAGCTTTCACGTCTCCATGGTGGGCCATACCTTCTCCTATTTCTTCTTCTTATCTAAGACACCTATAAAAATTTCCTCACACATTACTTTGAGGAAGTTCTAGTGTTTTTCCATACAGTTTTCCACGATGATGTCAACTAATGTCACCGGCTTTTCTCCAGTGACCTCTGTGAATATATCCTTTTAGCTTTATCCTTCAGATTCTGAGTGTTGAACTTGAACTGTAGTCTATCTCCAGCTTCTTGGAAAGCTTTCAACTGTATCTTCAAGGTTCTCAATACCAGGCAGTAATTTGAACCAACATCTTCTCCTTTAGTTGATTTTGTGTCCAGTCGGTTGCATCTGCACTTTCTTGAGGTAAGATTAAAATGAAGTCTGTCCAATTTTTGGTGTATCCATCTGCTGAAACTCGTGTTTGCTTGTGGATTTTCTTCAATCACCAGACTACTGAAGGCTCAGAAATCTGTAAATATTTCTCCGTTTTCATTCAATTCAGTGCGTTCTTGTTCATTACTATTTGCAGTTGGTCATGTAATACTAGATAAATAAAATTTTGAGTGTATTTCATTATTCACGTGCGTCGGTGGCATAGCGATTAGAACGCTCGCCGACCATGCACATGGTCCGGGGTTCGATCCCCGGCCGGCGCACTCCCTTACATCGCTAAGCCAGAACTAAAAAAAGCTGGTGAAGACTAAAGATTGGGAATGAGGCTAGCAACCCCATCCTGTAAAAATAAACACTGCTACAGAAACTTCAAGCCTCTAACTTGAAGCCCTATGTTCCAATGGGAACGTGAAGGAATTAAAATTTCATTATTCATGGTCATTTACATCTTATAATAGTGGATTGTTGCAACCTCCGTGTTTTCATCAGTTAGTGGTTGTAATGAGTTGGCATAAATAAAACGAATGCCAGAAAGACGCCGAACATCTATCAAGCGTTTTAAACAATGAATTTACGCACATATTCGTGGTAGTTTTGCAATAACCTTGCAAAAAAGCCGGTTTTTACTGCTTTCACACATAAGTGACTGAAATTAGAAGTGCCACTCAAACCATTTGGTGAGAAAGACTGCTACTGGTGCACCTTTCATTCTCACCTGTTTCGTATTTTACCATGTTAACTAGTTATTTATGCGTTGTTGTCACCATTAATTTGCATTAATGACTGAATGTTTATATAGACGAGTGTATCGACTACATTCTCTCTTTAGAAATAAACATCGTGTCAAAATAAATTCATTCACAGTAAACCTCTTAACGGTTTAGCAACACGGTACAATCAGCAAAATGTATCCTTAGTAAGCTCTAATGGAAAATTTTGACTTCTGATTTCAACAATAACACTGAATGAATTATGACATAATATATCTTAACTATTCTCCACTAGAGCAGGAGTAAAAAATGTGAAATATAAAAAAATGAAACCCAAATATCGACCGTAACGAGAATGGACATACCATGAAATTCGGGCCGTTTGTTTCCCTTTCATGTAGATCAATGAACCGTAAAAGTTACCAATATTGAATGAGATAGCTGTTGAAAGCATATCTGTTGACCCCTTATTCCCTATTTTATATCGTCCCACGATTACTGCTTCTACGACATCAATCATCTCCCTACAAGCTTCACAAAAATGTATTTGTCTGTCATGAACATACGATATTACTTGAAATAAGATATGACGTCCTTGTCAATATTTAAAGTCTAAGGTGAGAAGGAAGCAAAGCTGATAATCTGCCCATTGTAAGCCACTTAGTAAGGCTATGCTGTTGTCATCTGGTTTATAAATAACAAGTTTAATAAACGGCCATTAAATAACAATAGTGATTAGTTGCTGACCTATTACTTGGGAATAATTTGAATAATTTGTTGGCAGCCTTAAGGATTTTAAAAATTTTCTAATATTTTTACCATGCTAAGTTTTATGAATAGCTTAATGACCTAATTTTGTAAACTCTTAGCCAATGAAACCTGCTGTTTGGGATAAAGTGATTATTATTATCTGAGCAAGGCTTTCACAGATGAATATCTTGTAACTCTACCAAAATGTCAAACAAAGTGCTTATGTGAACAGTGAATGTCTCCTCTATTCACTTATAAGTCGACACTGTTCACCGCCTAAAGTATTCATACCTAATTATTTAAACGATAACTGTCCATGTGTTTATTTGCAACGCATATGCAACTTTTGTGTGGTAGGAATGGATAAAATATGAAATAACAGCATATGAGTAGACAGCTTACAAGTATAACGGTCCACTGTTCAGGGATCATAGCACTAGAATCTCATCTCTTCAACCAACCATGAAATGCAGTAATTCTGTTTATTTATAATTTTATACATTTTGGGACAGGTAAGTGAATACTTTAAGCAAGTAGTAATTCTCATCACATGTAAAGCAGACATATTGATTAAATATCATTGGAACAGTGTATGAAGTGTTGTCATTAAAATAAATTTCATGATTATTACAAGTGATAATATTTTCTGATTATTTATCTTGTTTTTGCATTGAAAAAAAACAGGGTTATACGAAATATTTTCGTTCATATAGTTATTCTTTGTTCTATTCCTCGAAAAATATTTATCTTCCGGCATCAAGGATACTATTTTTACCGTATGCATACTTTCTCTTATTTTGGAATTCAGAAAAAATTACCATACTAACCACTGATTACTGAACTAATGCTGTAAAAACAAGGTTGTATTCACTACCTAATCGGAATCTGCATCGTGTAGTGGTTAGGATTCCTGGCTTTCACCCAGACGGCCCGGGTTCGATTCCCGGCGCGGGAGCACTTTCGTGCGTTGGTGGTATACCGGTTAGGACGCTCGCCGACTATGCACATGGTCCGGGGTTCGATCCTCGGTCGACGCACTCCTTTACCTCACCAAGCCAGAAATAATGCTGGTGAAGACGAAAGGTTGGGCATGAGGCTAGCAACCCCATCCTGTAAAAATAAACACTGCTACAGAAACTTCAAGCCACTAGCTTGAAGCCCTATGTTCCACTGGGCAACCTGAAGGAAATAAAATCCTTTACCTATTCTGTAATTTCGCAGTGTTTCAATAAGATTAACTAATAAGCCCCTGGAATCAGACTTCATTAATATTAGTTCTTTTTGGAAGAAAATTAATACTGTTCCATTAGAAGTGTTCCGTTTTACCTAACACACCTCAAACCACTTAGTCATACTATGTTGACATCTGAAACTATCCAAAATAACTTGGTATTGCAATGATTTACTTATATTTTAAGTGGCTTGGTTTTGCGGAATGGGGAAAACTTTAACTCCTCAGAGGGACTGAGATACTCATTCCCGAAGTTGCAAACAAGTACGGGAAACAACCACACCTAGAATTTTCTGTCAGTTGGTTTTAGCATTACCTGAAGTATCAGTGAAAATTTTCGTCTGTAGCACTTATGGACTGCCACAACTTAATGCATTATTCACATAAATGACTGTTCCACAATAAGTCCTAGGCTTTCACCTTATAGAAATGTCCTTCTGTTTCCCATTATTAAAGAAATTTCATTTTGCCCATAATTATCATAGCTTAGTACAAGCTGAAAACTATGTTCTCAGGAGACAAGTCAAACCATGGTGTGCTTGAATAGATCATAATGACAATTCAAGTTGCGAAAGCGTGGCACTCGCAGGTGACTGATTTCACAGTATTGAAACTTAGTAACTTAGAAAAAGTATTCAAACATCCGTTAAAACTCTCACCTGACATTATAATTTAACAGATGATTTTTGACTGAAAATATTGTCCTCCGAAAACCATAGACCGTGTTGTTCTTATGTTTTCTTGAACTTCGTTTTCAACAAAATGTGTGAAATTGAATGATTGTTTAACGTTTTCTGACAGACTACCTCTGACTCACCCTCCGAAATGAATTAATGAAGATAATTTTGGACATTTCGACGCAGGGTTGTGATGTGAGTTTAGCAAAACATTTTTTTAAATGTTTGTTTTATTTCATGTTAAAATGCTACAGTGCAAATGTCAACTTTTGTTAAATAACCCAGATTATTTTATCGAATTATTTGTTTTAGTAAACTGGATGTAACGTGAAAACATGTATTTATTTATTAGTGTTTAACTGCGAATCCATTTAGATGGGCATTTTAGCGTGGACTTCAATGGCCTTCTTGCTAGTCTGTTTTCTTATTTTTTTTGCCTTTGTACATACACATTCCATGCCTAGGCTGAGTGTTTGATTCACTGATAAATAAATTGTCAACAAATTAAACTCTGTTTTATCTCATTTGCTCTGGTGAGTTATAATTTCCCGCCAATGAGCAAATAGATGTTGGTGTCTATCTTAGAACCCATCTCTTTATAATTATAATAACCATAATAACAACAATAATAATAACAAAAAGAAGAAGAAGAAGGAGAATACTGTGTTGCTTGGATTCATTTGATAAATCAGCATAAATTGTATCTCACTAGTTCTTTTGTTTGTGTGTATGTTCAGAAATATGTCTGTGTCTCTAATTTGCGGACTAACTTACACAAAGATGAACATCTATTTTCAAATAAAAAGGCAGGAGACATGAAATAAAAAAAAAGTCAACTGAATAAGATCTACCTAAGTTTCATGCTAAATTCAAAATTCCATGTTAATAGTTAATAAGAATTATATAAACAAATTGTGGTTTGTTGCGTTTTTCGGCTGAAAGATAAACCCCTACTTGACAGGGAGAGATCTTGAAACTCACTTAACACACAAACGGAACTGCATAAACTGTGATGCTGTTGTATGTTATCGAATTTCTGTCCAACACCTCTGACTGTACAAATGCCCCCTTAAAAAAATAATTATATTACCGCTCTTGTTAAATTGACAAGCTAATTCACGCTTGACTAACAAAACTAGAGTTTTTATGCGCATAAATTTCAAACGAATTGTACAGTCATTTTATTATGAGTATACTTGTAAGTGAAGTAATTATTATAATTAGTGAGGAAAGAGTCTTACCCTTGTTTCAAGTAAGTCAGTCCACTCGGTCGCTAAGTTTTTATACTCAAGTTATCCAATTTGAATTTTACAGCAAATGTGTCCCGTTAGTTATTTTTTAATTACACGACTTTGTGTTAGGTATCGAAACATTTTTGAGTTTAGAAATTTAAGCGTAACCTTGAAGCTATAGTACGGAAAGATCTTTAAATGAAAAAATATATTTGATTTCTTTCTACTTTACATTCATATAACTTTTGCATTTCAACGAACTGACACACTTAAGAAAGTCAATTTCAGTTTCAAAACAACATGTACAATGGACTGCTAACACCATAGACATAGACCTAAACATTCATAAGCTGGGCGTTTTCTTAGCTATTAAATCTAGCAAAAAGGGATATTAAATACTTTGCCTGATGTGCTCACAGAACTTGCAAGTTAGGGATAAGATCTAAGATCTTAGGTATCGAAGTCATGTTACTCATCAGGTTGTGGAGTCTTGTCAAATTGTCTTGAATAACACTGAATGCAGAAGACTTTCAAACTGCTTTCAGGTTGATGAAAGCGTATGTTGACTTTCCGATGCTGGCTGGCTTTGACATCCAAATAGCACGCCCTAATTACTAAAAAAATAGTGCATTTTAATGCCATTACTGAGTAACATTATCAAAGTCAGAGATTAACTCTGCTTTCCTGACCACCACTAATGAACAAAAATCAAGAGATTAAAAGCGATGTCTTTTTATTTTCTTTAAAATTGGGAACACTGATATGGACAGATTCATACTGAAAAAAGTATTTTGTCAACAATAAAAAATATCCGCAATTAACTGCTGTCAGACAGTCAAAAATTAGCAAAACTTACACGCCGTTATCAGTACTTAAAACCGTTTGTAAAGCCCATATATATATGCTTGTGCATAGAACAACCAAGAATGCTAACTGATATCATTTAGAGAACCACTGAAAACCACAGAGTACTGGACAGCTGTATCATTTTGTTTTGGAAGGCATCTCGAATCCATGGCCTTCCACTTACAAGGTAAGCTAGTAAATCATTCAGCCACTGCGATCTGACTCAGTGGCCTGTAAATTCTAACTTCTACAAGTTCCGAAACCAGGACGAAAGAGCTGTCTAGTACTCTCTGGTTTTCAATAGTTCTCTAACTTATGTCAAACCATGGTGAAACTTGGAAAACAAATCAAATCCCTTAAAACCAATTCTTGAAAACCAAGTTTACACTAATCAGATACATGATTGATACATGATAGCAGTTCTCTGCTCCTGAAGCCTTTGAAACTATGGATTTTCGAAAAAATATTTAAATTTTTGTAGTAACAGTCATAAAGTAAGTTGCGGACATCGTACGACGAATATTAGAACCACCAGAGCGTCTAGAAGGCAAGAGCTACCACTTTTCACATAAACATACTTCATATCGTGGCTAGGGTAAAATGGGACGAATAAGATATTTCAAACTGGATGGGAAAACAACAGATGTAAAGTCTGCTTGAGAAGTGAGACATCACAGTTTAATAAAGTGGTCGCAGTCCACAATTTATGTGTCATCAAGATCATTCAAACATTAACTAAACATTACTGCTAGGCAATTGCAGGCATACTTTAGTATCTTCATTTCGTTTTTGGCTTCAGTCTAATGCTATCACATCAATGGCCGACGCTAAATTATTGAAACTATTTGCAATCATTGTCGTCTTTTCATTTTAAGTTTCGATACCTACATGAATTCGGTTTTACAGTTTTCATTACACCTATGATTTTCATCTTCCATGGATGAATATTCGCACAAAAATGTAATCAATAGCCTTCAGAAGGCCTGTATTCTTCAAGCACAATTTTTTATACTAGCGAAAATTAATTATGCGTATGTGGTCAGTGAATAAATGAGCTACATTTGCAACTGTTATTATTTCAAACTAATATAACCACTTGATCATCTCTTTAAACAATTAGAATGAATACATTTGTTTATATTTTTCTTTAAATTCTGATAGTTGACTGATCTGGATAGTTTGGATGAAGAGTCACTGACTTCAGAACTGCGTCACGTAGATTCACATTTGAAAGATCCTTCCAAGTTTCCTGCTATTCGAAGTCAACAAATACACACACTTAGGTCAAGAGCTTTCTAGACACTGGTGCAGTGAATCATCTAGCACTAAATACCAATGCATCATACTGCATTGTAATGGGAATTCAACGAACGTAGTGATCATTTTGCACACCTGAGCGAGTGGCTTCAATCTTCAAACCTAAATTACGCAAAACTTTTCTTTTGCATCCTGTACTGAATTTTTTGTATTCTGCATGTTCAATGTGAGTAAATTAACAGTAAATGTAGTTGGTGACATGAAGCAGGTGAGAATTCCTGAAAGCAAACTGCTGTAAATCATCTATGGTCTTTTCATAAAATTCTGCCTGTGTTCTAGATTATTTGTGATAAATAATTATTCATGAAGGATATATGAGATTTACTTTTTATTGAACAGCACTGAAAATGACGCCAAGATAGAAGCCACAAAATCTATAGATAAAATCTGAGTCTGGAAGGTCTATAGACGATTACAGCATCCATAAAACACTGTTTCAGAACATATTCTGACAAGGCTTCGAAATGTGAATAGCTACTACATGATTTTAGCAATAAACTGTTTGTGTCAACTTTAGCTAGTAAGAATCAAAACATCGCGTGCTATTCCCATTTAGCATAAACTGATAAAAAAGTAGATGCCCTCACTAGACACCTCAGTCCATTTATGATCGTCCAGACAATCGATGAATTTGCATTTGGATATTTTTGGTAATATTTTGTTATATTTTAATCGGCCACTGAGGTTTTTACATTTCTATTGAAGCTTTACTACAAAGCAGACTTCTTATCTTGTCATGAAACTTTTTTTTGACTTATACTGAATCGTTACCTCAGCATGGCATATACTCAGTTCTATGCTCTACTCATGCAGTTGACTTCAGCAGAAAGGGCAGTGTATTTCAGCCATATGCTTTAAATGACTTTGTGTCAATTTCTTTTTTCTAGTAATATTCAAGTTTATATTAAAACTACAAGACTGAAATTTATTTTCATTAAAGCGAAGTGCACGCTGTAACTACGACAAATTAACATGAATAATGCGATACACTTATTGTCTGGTTAATTTGTTCAACAAAATGCAGCTCATATCTTGTAAGGACAGTATTTATCTAATTAGATCAGTTGAAATGAATGTGTGACAGCGATATTCTGTTAAGAAAAATGGACCAGCGGAATCAAAAGAGACAATAACTTACCAATACCTAGAATGTTGATCAAAGACAAATTTCATGAGTCTCTGACAGTCTTATTTCAAAATCATTTGCGCATTCAATAAAAACAAATAGTCTAGACTACTATAGAATGTTTTGCTACTGATTCAGATGCTCATATCTATCGCTAGACAACATTAGTCCTTATATGAAGAGCAGTGAAGCAGTGACTAACATGATTCAGATTAGCTGAACATTTAGATAACTTTTCTGAATACTTATTTGTAAAATATCACTAATATTTATCAGAATTGTTTGGTGTGTGATATCAAGTGGTACAATGTTTTGGTTGGAATGAATATTAACTATGAACACCAGGTTATATGACTTATTTATTCCTTCATTTTAAAACACAATCGTAAAGCATACACTTAAGACTTATATGAGTCCACCCTTAGGACATATCTAGTGGTCATGTCAACCGTATAACGTTACATATGA